GCATACGGAAATTTATGGGATAATCATCATGAAATTAAACGAGATGTTGAATCATCAGTAAATGAATCACAACAAAGTCTTCAGGCTGGCCCGAGTCTTAGTAATGTCGAAATGGGAAGCGTTAATAACAATCAGTTAGAATTGGCAAGTTTGAAAACAATGCTTTCGCAGAGAGCAAATGAATGCGCATTATGGCATGCTCAACATGAGAAGACTATTCAATCTGTACAGGTAAAAAGTCTGATTGGATTATTTTTGATGATTATTATACAACTATTAATTAATATTTTCGATTAGGGACCCCTCTTACAAGTAATGTATAACGAAGTTTTCGCAAGTTCGCAGATTGGATCAACATTATTTGGGACCTTCATGCAAATGTTGTCAACAAATGAGCATCTCCATCAACTTTGTTTAAAGATTAATCAAGACTTTTTTGGGTGGATAAATGAACGCAACCATGCATTTAAAAATTGTCTCGAAAGATTACAATTTTATCAAACATTAATACTTCCGATTATACAAGATTTGTTGAAACAGGATTATTACGGAAAATGGTCGCATTTATTAAGTGAATTCCTGGATTCTAGATTTGAAAAGGAAGATTTCCAAAAAATATTCGAACATGTTAATCTGGAGAAACCGCCTCATCAATTTGAATTTAACATTGATGAAATTTCTATGGTATGTAGTCATATTTTGTCGTTTGTTGAAATTTTTCATTATTTCATAAATATTCATTTATAGATAGACATGAGAAAAACAGAAATTGACATAGAATTACAGCAGCGTCAAATTGAATTAATGAGGATTGAGTGGATTAATGAGACATCGATCGGAGACGATAGTTCGATTAGAAAGCAGGTACATGAAGATTAAGATCTTTTATTATTATTTTGAATTAAATGGGTATTGATATTATCTTACTAATAACTAATAATCATATTTTAGTTTTTGGAAGATTTAACGCAGGATGTGAATATATTCATTAGATTAGATTCATTATTACAAGAGTTAACAGCTCAATACAGTACAATTGAAGTTGATATTACAGAAATGATTATTGCAAAGAAACTTACAACTCCTGAAAGTGAAGGTGATGCAGCATTACAATCTTTTAATGATGATGTAACCAATCAACAAATTCTTTTCGCGCAAGAATTTGAAAGAGTAAGCAAAATTTATTTATTTGAAAGAGCACACATATAATCCTTGTTCCTTTCCCCCCCTTTGTTCTTGATATTTATTTATTGTATTTTGACATAAAAAACTTTATCACAGATGAAACACATAGTGAGTTTGTGCAATTCGATACTTCATTTGGAATCATTCCGCATGATAACTGAAAAGACTAAAACAATGGATGTAGATACCCTTCAATTGGTTAAAAGATTGGAAGGAGTTGTATATAGGTGAATAAGATATACAATATACAATATCATAATTCTATTTGATAAATTAATTTGCTTAACTTTCTTTCAATATAATAATTTTGTGTAGAGTAAAATCTACAACTAATCCAGGATTGGACATTACACAACAACTTTCTTCCTTAGAGGTGAGATAATAATTTGGATTTGAACTATTGTATCAAAAGAAAATTGGATTTTAATTATAATGAATAAAAATATTTAGTTTGGTCCATCAAGTGGTAAAGGATTATCAAGAGAACTTGAAGTGATTGCTAAGGAAGCTCATAATATATTTGGTGAAATTCATTCTTTGATGCTTGACTTAATTCTTTTGATCGACCCGATTATTAATGTTGAAGTGGACATTGATGATATTGGAAAGAATGTTCGATCCAGAGCAAAAGTGAATATCAACATTTTAAGTTTTATATGTAGCAGTAATACAGCCTAAAACATTTATTTTTCTTATCTATATAGGATTTCATGCATGAATGGTCAAAATTTGACATTGAAGTTATCGATAATTCTTTAACCATTTTTGATGGACGTCAAAAAGCACAAAATGACATTATCATGGAAAGTTTATATCAAGAAAGCGTAATTATTTCTTAATTTTTGTTTAAATTTTTTAAAAAATAAACTTGATGTTTGAAATTGAACTTATTTAATTTATTTAGGTTCGAAACATATCTGATTTTTTGAACACACTGTCGCGCGTATTTGAACAACTCTTTAAACTTTGTGAAGTATCCGCAGAAAACGATCAGAATTATTCACGTCAGCCAAGCACTTCGTCTCTTGAAATTTCTAGTGTCCCGAAGCAATCCATAACGACTTCTGGAACCAACTTAGAAATTGATTGTGCACAAATATCGGCACCTACGGAAACAAACCGCTTTCAAGATATTACAAGCGAATATGTAGACCAAAATGAAGTTTATAGCAATCCGATTTCATCACAAAAAGATGATCAAGCACAATCATTAAAAGATAATATAAGACGTAGTTCATTAATTATTGCTGAAGGAATTCAGAACGTTGGAACAGGTAAAAGCAAAGAAAATTTTTTATATTTTTTCATATACAATTATTAAATGAATTCCTTTTTATATATATAGCACAAACAAGGAATTCGTTTGCTGTTAGTGTCATTCGTAGAGTTAAATCAAAACTTGAAGGAAAAGATTTTGATTTAAACACAAAGATGAACATTTCTGAGCAGGTAAATTGCTCAAAAAAAAATTTTTTTTTTTTATATCTTTTGTTAAACTTGTTTGTGATGATTTAGTTACTATTCATTTTATTTAAGGTTGATAAAATTATTCAACAAGCAATTGATATAGATAATTTATGTGTAATGTACGAAGGCTGGACTCCTTGGATTTGATATTTAAATTGTATGACTAATATATTAACTAGTTTTAATACATGATTGTTTCTCTAATAAATAATAAAAATAATAATTTATCTTTTTTTTTTTTTGAAAAAAAAAAAAAAATTGAACATAAAAATATTCTAATGGTCGGCTTTCCTGTTAGCCTTTTTGACATTTATTATATCATATTTTGGGCGTCACGTGATATATTTTATTAATTTAATTCTGGCTGGCATTAGCATCTCGGTCAGTTATAACATCTGCGCTCAAATCTCGGTGTAACTAGAGTGCGTCATCGATTATTTAAAAATTTTTTTACAAAATGTGCGTTCGTCAGCATTCATTTGCATGCCTCGAATTTAAAACAATTCCTTTGTCTGTACAAATAATCATATTGATATAATGGTAAGCTTTAAATAAATTAAATCATTCGGCTTCAATTATTTAATAATTTCCTACTTTAAAACTTAGTTTCGCAATCAATACGATAATGATACCTCAACTTGGAGTCCTCAAGGCCGTATTCACCAGATCGAATACGCTTTGGAAGCGGTAAAGCAAGGCTCAGCTGCGGTGGGGTTAAGATCAAATACTCACGCTGTATTATTGGCATTAAAGGTAAAATATTAACTAAATTAGATATATTTATTAAATTTTGTCTAGTTTCATGCTTTGCATGAGTTTTATGAACTTTTGTAGTTTTTTTTCCATTGTTTGCAATGATTAGAGATCTTCCGATGAATTAGCTTCTTATCAAAAGAAGCTAATTCGAATTGATGACCATTTGGGTATCGCTATCGCAGGGTTAACTTCAGATGCACGCGTATTAAGGTAAGGATTTTTTGATATCGAATTAAATCATAAGCATCTTGATCACTAAAATTTTGTACACTTGCTCGAAACAGTAACTTTATGCGAACAGAGGCAATGAAATCCAAAATGATCTATAATCGACCTTTGCCAATTTTCCGTATTGTTTCAGCAATTGGAGATAGTATGTTAAAATTTACTTATAATTAAATTTGTAAGGGTAATTTACTGATTATTTTCATCTAACATATAGAGGCACAAGCAAACACACAAAATTATGGTCGCCGACCTTACGGTGTTGGTCTTTTGGTCGCTGGTTTTGATGTAAGTTAACATTAAATTTCAATTATGTATTTCGGTGCTTCATTATTAATAATATTTACAATTTACATTTATTCCTATGTTTTATAGGAAACTGGGCCACATTTGTATGAATGTGTTCCTTCCGGAGATTTCTTTGAGTATTACGCTATGTCAATCGGCGCCAGATCACAGTCGGCAAAGACATATTTAGAGAAGTACTATGAGAGTTTCGCAGAAGGTAATGCATTATATTTTTTTTTATTTTATTTTTAAGCGAAAAAAGATCAAACACACAATTTTATTCTTTTAAATTTTTAGCTTCATTGGAAGAACTTGTTCGACATGGACTTCATGCGCTCCGTGATACTTTGCAACAGGATAAAGAACTTAATAATCGCAATTGCTCTATTGGAATAGTTGGAGCTGATCAAAATTTTCAAATTATTGAAGGTGATGCTTTACAAGCTTATTTAGATTTACTAGATTCAGGTACTCAAGAAGATCAAGGACAAGCACCAATGGAAACTGAAGACTAGTAAAAAAAAAAAAAACACTATTTTAATAAATGAATAGGTGATTCTATATATAAATGTTTGTTTGTACCTTGTAATAAAGATAACTTCATATTCTTTAGTATGTAATTATTATAATTATTATATAAAATGATTAAGTGTTTTTTATAAAAAATTATATAAAATTTGTTTTTTACATTATAATTATAAAGGATTATATACAGTATATGATATTTAATAATATTAATTTTATCTTATTAATTGATTAATAAAAAAATATATATATATTTATACTATTAATATTTATAAAAATTTTAATCAAATATGAAAAAAATAAATGAAATTTATAAATTGAATATAAATACTATAAATAAGATTAAATTAATAATAGAAATAATTTAATAAATTTAGTATTTTAAAATATAATAAATTTTAATATTTATATATTTTAGATTTTTAAAAATAATTGCAAAACTTATAATTATATTATTCTAAATGTTTTTTATTAATTTCTATTAATACTTTAATATATATGTTATAATAAAATATAATAATAAAATAACATAAAAAATCGTAATATAATATTATTTACTCTTCTTTTTTTCTTTTCTTTTTTCTGATCTCTTCATTAATTTTTCTATCATTATATCTTTTTCCATTTTCTCTACCTTTAATGATTCTAATATTTTGTTGTTCTTGGTTAAGTCTTTCAAGTTCCTCTCTTTCTCTCTTTTCATATTCCTCTCTCATTTGTTGCTCTGCTTCTTCATTTTGTTTATCAAATTTTTCTTTTCTTTTCCTTTTCATCTTACAAGTATAACAAAGACATTCTCCATCACTATCATCTGTTTCACTTTGAGTTTCACTTACCTCCAATTCATAATCATCAACAAACGAACTACTGTCTGAACTAGATGAAGAGCTGCTACTACTACTACTACTACTACTACTACTTTCAAGAAAAGCAGGAATTGTATCTAAAGCTTTAATTCTGTTCACTAGTGTCATATAGAACTCCTTGTCATGTCTTGTACCTCCAATATTCGACAAATTTGTAAATTTATTTAAAAGTTTTTGTGCAAGTTTCGGACGCGAATTCCTTGTACGCAACCAAACATGCTCAATTGAAGTTGGCGAACAAAAATTCTGAGTGACAGCTATAGTAAAATCTATTACGTTACACGAACGCAAATGAAAAGTTATATTAAAATTTATCATTCCTTATTTGAAAAAATTACTGATTCAGCTTACCCAGATTCATAACGACGTGATGCCATCCTCCTGGGACATACACAGTTTCGCCAGGTTTTTGCAACACTTGAACCATTTCAAACTCCTCAGCAAAGCTTCTGCTTTGATCCTTATCAACTTTAACTAATATAGGATAGACATGAGTAAACCATGATACTGCCTCATGATCCAAACCTTTCAATTTTGGATCAATTATTTTACGAGGAGTTGAAGGTGGAAAGAGGCACCATCTTTTATGTCCAACTAATAAAGTATTCCAAGCAGAAGTGCCTAATGGATCAAAATGTATTCTAAAAAGAGTCAATTCAATAGTACAAGAGTGTTTTCAAATGGGCAAATTATAAGCAAAATATTAAATTTATTTACCCAGTACCACTTCTTTCACCGCCAAGGACGAACCAACGATATGGTGGCCTACGCTTTTCACCCGTTAAACGAAAAAGATCATCGTCAAAATATTTAGGAACTTTATAATCCTTTAATAAGCATGGACGATGGAATCTTGGCTGCTTTTCCTTTGGCTCCTCGGATTTGTTTTGGTTGTCAGTAGAAACTTCCGACGAAAAGTCAAATGGAGAGACTTTCAAAATAGTTTTTTCAGCTTGTTGCACTGACCTTTTTAGCTTGCCAAATGATGAATCAAATATATATAAGGGACTATCATCCTTGATAGCTTCATTTTCTAAATAATACAAGTAATATTTAAATGCCATTCGAACAGGATCTCCATTATCATCTTCACCAACTTTAAATCTGTAATCCTCAAATTTTTTAAGAAGTGTCTTTAAAAAAAGAACCATTAACTATAAAATTCAATATTATCCAATGAAATAGATTTTCTTATCAATAGGAAAGAATTTCAATTCTAACCTCCCTATTCCACTTAACCTCTGCTGGCCAGCCTCTTGTACATCCATTAATAACAACTGGTAAACCAGGTACTTCAAATTTCTCAATAAATTCTTCTCGAGAAACGTTTGATTCCTCAATTCGAACAACATTGTCTGCGGATGGTGGTATCCAATAATTATTTTTAGAGTAACCACGCTTTGACCATTCAAAAATGTCCAATTCTAAATTTTACAAAACACCGTGTTATTTTATTTTAGTTTTTTGATGAAATAAACTTTTTTTTATTTATTCAAAATATATTTATAAATAAATGTGATATCTAAGTTAAACAAATAAAATAAAATAAAATAAAAAAAGCGTGAATAGAAAATACTACATAAAATGCTAATTAACAGGTTACCTGACCGTGCCCTAATTTTTATACTTTTTATTTTACGTTCATATTTTTCAAGATCTAGGCTGATTATATCGCCAACTCTAAAGGAAACCTTTTCTTTTGATTGACCTTCAGTTTGGTTTAACGTCTGCTTAGACATATAAGTGTGAGTTGAAGGTGGCATCTTAAAAAAAAAACCCTTTGAAAGAGAAAAACTACCAGAACTTCGAGCTAAAAATTGCATATTAATAAAATACCGAACATTTTTTATTTCAATAAATATTGTATTGGTGCATAATAGGCTTGTTCAATTCTAGACCAAAAAAAGCAATAGCCAATCAGATCAAAGGTATTTTTTGATTGATCGGGGTTTATTTTGCAATATGAATTTAAACGACGAATATATGCGCTATGGTTACTTTTAGGTGAAGGTGGTTGTGAAGTAAGAGTATATAAAGGAGCCAAAGAAATAGAAGCCAAAGAAGGAACCAAAGTAATTGCCAAAATAGGCGTCAAAGTAAGCTAAAATATTTGAAACAAATTTGAGTTGGACATTTTCTTATTAAGCATGAACTTTGCTGTGGTAATGGTAATCAATCAAAATTTTTGATCGCAAAATCCATTAGCTAATCAAAAATGTGCAATAGAAAAGAATAAAAATGAGTTAATGTTAAAACGAACATATGTTGACCTAAAAATCATATTTAGCATATAAAAGTAAAATTGATTTTTTCCGGCAGTTTCCCTTCCTATATTGCAAAGGTATCAGAATTGAGATTTACCTAGTATTACTATCAAGTTTTTCATTTCCATGTGATTTTTTGGCTAGCGTTATATAATGTAACGTGGTCGAAATTAAACATGTGATAAATAAGGTGATAGATAGGATTTTTCATATTAAATAAATATATAGTAAAAATGAATAACATATTATTGAAAGTTGTATAAGGCAAAAAACTTGGTAGTAATACTAGAAAAGATCAGAATTAAGTACATCAATTTTAAGTATTTAATCATAAAAAATTTTCTTTTAAAAGAGTAGAAAAAATAAAAAGTAATCAAATAATATATTGGTTAAAATAGTTCAAATTTGCTAAAATCAGATGGCTGAATTTAGGTTTATTTTAATACTATTTATAGCTGAATTGTATGTTTTTCAATTAATCCAATTACAGCATCAATTCAGAATATAAATTCACTATAAATCAGCATCAATTCAGTATCTATTCAGCTAAATAAACATATAAATCAGTACTGTAGAGTGCGCTCTATAGTATCCCAGGTATTTTACATTTTACAAAAATTTTGGGATACTATGATCAGAGGGTATTGTGATGTAATAGGGGTACAATACATAGTGATACATTTTAACTATATATAGGTAACAAGGTAAGTGGCATTTTGTTAAGTTTACAAGTTTCATTATGGCGATAATTGGAAATAAACGTCGTAACTATGCTAGGGTTACTAAAAAACTTCAACGATAATAGTGTGCTCGCGAAAAGCTTATGATATTGCATTATGCACAAAGAGTTCAAAGTAAAAAGGCTGCTGCAAAAAGGTTTGATATTGAATCAAAACAAATAAGGGATTGGGAAAAAAAGGAAGCAACTTATATCTTCGGCTCCATATATTAAAAAGTTACATCCAGGGAGGTCTCCAAGTTTACCTGAACTAGAAAAACTATTATTTCAATGGTTACAGAATTTAAGATAAGAAAGTAAAGTCGTAACTCGCAATATGATTATAAAAAAAGCCAAAAAAATGGCGAAAGTTGATGAAATGAAATGACTTTATCCAACAATCTAAGATTTTAAATTTCTAACAAGTGGTTAGATAGTTTTATTGGTAGATATAACTTATCTAACAGAAGAAGAACAACAATATCCCAACAATTACCTGAAGATTTAATTGAAAAACAGCACTCATTTTTGAGTTTTATTCTTTATAGGCGTATACAATATGATTATCCACTCAATTTAATTGCTAATTTCGATGAAACTTCTCTTAGTTTTGATTTACCATCTTCAATAATGTTAGAATTAAAGGGATCTAAAACTGTTAGTATTAGATCGACTGGTCACGAAAAAATTGTTTCACAGTAGTTTTGACATGTATAGCTGATGGAATTAAATTAGAACCTATCATTATTTTCAAATTAAAGAATATACCTTGTGAAGTTTTTTCTGATGGAGTAAAAATTCGGGTCAATAAAAAAGGTTGGATTAATGAGGAAGAAATGCTTTGGTAGATTGAAAATGTATGGTGTAATAGAACTGGTATAAATAATAATCCAAGAAGTTTTTTAATATTTGACTCCTTTCGTGATCATTTAGTTAATAGTGTTAAAAATAGACTTGATGAAAAACAAACAAACATTGCAGTAATTCCTGGAAGACTGACTAGTAGACTTCAACCATTAGATGTTGGAATCAATAAAATTTTTAAATCTAAGGTATTTATTTATTTATTTATTTTTTTTTTTGATTTTTTTGATTTATTTTGATGGTTTTACTTAATGATCTTCTTTATTTTGTTAGATTTGCAAATTATATAATAAATGGATGTCTGAAGAAGTTCATAAATTTACTCTGGCTGGAAGGATCAAAAGACCTGCTTATAATAAAGTTGCACAATGGGTTAAAATAGCTTAGAATAACATTGATGTTGACAAAGTTAAAAAATCCTTCAAATGTTGCGAGATTTCTGTAGCAAAAGATGATACTGAAGATGATCTTATTTTTGATTATGATTTGCTAAATGATGAAAATGAAAATCCTTATAATGATGAGGTGTTTGAAGATAACGTATATGATGATTTTATTGATGGTTATGAAAATTCATTGAATTAATTAGAATATCAATTTAGATAATGAATTATAAATTGTAATAAGTTTTATCAAATTAGCAATAAAAAATAATTTTTTTTCAGA